TAGGTTGTGTGTACCCCAAGTGCACTGGCTCTGAATCCAGCACAGCACCAGCACTTACCCAGAAACTGCAGTCTTTATGGGTCTACACTGCCTTTCAAGTTCCTTTAGGACCTCAGGGCACTTTAGCTCTTGGTGGTGGGCCTTGCTGGAACTCAGGTTTCAATAGCTAGAGTGGATGATTTACATCTGGCTAGGTCCGTTCTAAGTTCTTCATCCGTGAGTACCAGCTGAGTTCGGCCCCATGTTGCTTTCTGCTATGACAGAGCAGCATTGAGTTCCAATGCAAAGTCCCATCATCACTGCACTCTCCGTCGCCCAAATGCAGATTATCTTTGCACGCCATATGGCCACTGCAGGGAGATGAGGGAAGGGTGGTATAGGTCATTCAAAACAGTTTTTCTTACCTGCTTCAATGCCTCTTTCCTTAATATGATGTTAAGACCAGGTATTATGATCACTCACCTGATTTTCAGTTCTTATGCAGATGCTTTTGTGTGGATGATTGTTCAAGTTGGTGTTCCTATGGGGGGATGATCCCCGGAGGCTTCCATTTAGCCACCTTGCTCCACCTCTAATTCCAAAGCTGGTTCTTTGAAAATCAAGCTGAGGGAAAAGTTTTATACACAGGAACACTTGAATAATTGAACACAAATGTTCACTGTAGTTCAGAATTAGTAGAATATTCAACAGGTTACCATTGGCATGTGGGAAGCAAGAGACCACTGTGGCTAAAATGTATTGTTTTAGAGGGAAACCTGAAATGGACTGCAGTGTACCTGCTATGCTGACTCCAAAAAAAAAAAAAAAAAAAGAAAAGAAAAATTCCCGCAAAGTAGACAGTCATCAGGGTTTCCAGCAGTCTCTTTGAGCTTTGTTAAAGAAATTGTTAATCTTCTCATTCATATCTAAGATTTGAATTACTATTGTAACTTCTTAACTGTTCTCCATGCATGTAATCTCCATATTTAGATAGTCTCTTCTATTAGCCACATATTGCAAGTTCATTTTCCTCCTCTGGCTTCCTAACAGCCATGAACTATGATGAATTTATCATTGTCTATCTCTGCTTTGCTATTTTGTCTTTTTTTTTTTTAATTGTACTTTAGGTTCTGGGGTACATGTAAAGATCATGCAGGATTGTTGCATAGGTATATACATGGCAAGGTGGTTTGCTGCCTCCATCCCCCCGTCACCTATATCTGGCATTTCTCCCCATGTTATCCCTCCCCAACCTCCCCACTCCCCCGCTGTCTCGCTGTTTTGTCTTTTATATCTGTAAAGGAATAAACAAACTTTTTAATTCTCTACTTCCACTTAACACAGTCTCCATATGTGGTGGTTGTTTCTCCACACACCAAGTAATTCTCCAGTGGATACCAACCAGGTGTCCTGTGATTCAGTTCAACCATGTCACTGTCTACCTGGAGATAGCATCAGATTTTCCATAGGATAAGGGCTGAGTAAGATTGCCACCACTTCACATGCCAGTGTTACCTATGCGTCTTACCACCTCACCTTGAGTTAGAATAATTTGCTAGAATGGCTCACAGAACTCAGAGGGATACTTTACTTCTGTTGCCTATTTCCTGTAAAGGATATCACAAAGGATACAGATGAACAGCCAGATGGAAAAGATGCACATAGGGCAAGGCATGTGGGAAGGGGCTCGGAGCTTCCATGCTGTCTCCAGCTGCATCACCTTCCAGGCACCTCAGTGTGTTCGATAACCTGGAAGCTCTTAAAATTCTGTCCTTTGGGTTTTTATGGTGGCCTCGTTACATAGCCATGATTGATTAGATTATGGGTCATTGGTGATAAGCTCAACCTTCAGCCTCTCTCCTCTCCCTGGAGGTTGGGAGTGGGGCTGAAAGTCTCAACCCTCTAATTGTGTAACTTGGTCTTTCTGGTGACTAGCCCCATCTTGAAGCTATGTAGGGCCTCCCAGCCACCAGTCATCTCATTATCATACAAAGACACTCATCACTTCCAGAGATTCCAAGGATTTTAAGAGCGTGTGCTAGGAACCAGGAGCAGAAACCAAATATGTATTTATCACAATATCCTTGAATTATTGTTTTCAGTACCTAGTGTGGAATACCTGGTATATATGTCTTTCCCCTTTTTGAAAAGGTCAAAAGACAATTATTGTTGAATCCTCAGCACCTGACACTAAGATAGCAAATAGTAGATGTGCAATAAATGTTTAGTGGATTGAATTGAGTACCTGCCCTACCTACTTTCTCTTTCTGAAATATCCTTACTTTTGTCTATGCAAATTCTGTGCCTCCTTTAGAACTCACCTGTTCAATGAAATATCTCCTGCCTTGCAGTCCTTACTGATTTATGAACTTACTGTATTCATATGCTGTGCCACACAGTAAACTCTAAGAAATTTAAAGCAATGATATGTGTCCAAAGCATTTCTGTAATATGTTGATTAATACAGAAGCAAAATTACTAGCTAAGCTATTAAAAACAAATATTTACTCAGTACTTTTTGTCGTAAGGCACAGTGCCAGTCTTCAGGGGTTAAAGGTAAATACTTCCTTCAGAAGGTTACAGTTTAGTAAGAGGGATAAAACACGTAACAGGTAAGTGGTAAGTTTCATAAGGGATGTCTTTTGAGAGATCAGAATAGGCTAGTTGGAGAGTAAAGGTTGGAGGATTTGATTGCTATTGGGCAAAATTTAAACTCCTTAAAGTAGGCATTATTATGCCTGTCTTATTAATGAGAAAAAATGACACCCAGAGAATTAAGGGATTGTGACCAAGCTCGTAATGATCCGTAACTGATAGAGCTGAAATTTAAACCTAGTAAGTGTGCCTGCAGAATCTCTTCCTTTAATTGCCACACCAGAGCTTAGAGGTGGTACTGGTAAGGGTTAGCACCACTGATTGGATACAGGGAATAATGAAGTAGAGCAGGAAGAAATGACATGAGAGATTGCCTGAATGATATGATAAAGTGATAATGCTATTGATAACATGGAGCACAAGGTAAGACATAAGAGGACAAGGAAAAGTCAGTTAATTTGGGGCATACTAATGTTTAGATACCAGTGAGGAGGGGACATCTAGCCATTAGAAATGTCAGACTGGATGTGAAACGAACCTGAATGGCCAGAAAATATATAAACGCATGTCTAACTTTAGTAGGAATTGTGGAAATAAAGTTAAAAACATGAGCTACCGCGTGTTTTTCCCCCCTACTAGATTGGAGGGGAATAAGAATTCTTATACAGTACTAGTTTTAGAGCTATTTGGCAATATCTAGTAAAGTTAAATTTGCATATACTCAATAACTCAGAAGTTTCATTTTTAGATAGCTGCCTTAGACAAACTTTTTGTTTGTTTGTTTGTTTGTTTGTTTTTGAGATGGAGTCTCGCTCTGTCGCCCAGACTGGAGTGCAGTGGCACGTTCTCAGCTTACTACAACCTCCACCTCCTGGGTTCAAGCGATTCTCCTGCCTCAACCTCCTGAGTAGTTGGGACCACAGGCATGCACCAGCATGCCTGGCTAATTTTTGTATTTTTAATAGAGATGGGTTTCACCATGTTGGTCAGGCTGATCTTGAACTCTTGACCTCATGATCCACCTGCCTCAGCCTCCCAAAGTGCTGGGATTATAGGCATGAGCCACCACTCCCAGCTTAGACAAATCTTACATATGTGCAAGATGTTCATTGCAATGGTATCTATAAAGGTGAAAAATTTTTAATGTTCCTTAATTAGAGAATAGATAAGTCATAGTATACAATAGACTGTTATGCAGTAAAGTGAACTATGTCTTCCTGTATCAACATGGATAAATACAAAAAAGTAGAGTGAAAGATGAAAGTTGCATTTTGTTACTATTGATGAGAAAATTAAAAACCTACATCATTCAGCCAGGCGACAGTGTCTTACACCTGTAATCCCAGCACTTTGGGAGGCCAAGGCGGGTAGATCACTTGAGGTCAGGAGTTCAAGACCAGCCTGACCAACATGGTGAAACTCCGTTTCTACTAACAATACAAAAATTAGCTGGGCATGGTGGCGGACACCTGTAATCCCAGCTACTCAGGAAGCTGAGGCAGGAGAATGTCTTGAACCCGGGAGGTGGAGGTTGCGGTGAGCTGAAACTGTGCCACTACACTCTATCCTGGGCAACAGGGTGAGACTCTGTCTCAAAAAAAAAAACAAAAAACAAAAAAAAACCTACGTTATTCATATGTGTGTGTTAATTTTTTCATATGGGCATATACACATATAGAGGATTGTGAATTGGAAGAATAAATGCTATTCTTGTTGTATCTGTCCCCTTTCTCCCTTTTTTTTTTGCTTGGGTATTTTAAAGCATATCTAAGATCATGTTTCTAACAGATACAGACTTAAATACACATGAAGCCTGAGTATTTCCACACAAATTAAAATTAATAATAGTGAATAATAGATCTAAGATTAGTTTTCTGTTAAATTTTTTTCAGTTACCTCAAAGTTGCCTTTTTTTTTTTTCTTGAGGTGCAGCCTTGCTCTGGCATCCAGGCTAGAGTACAGCAGTGTGATCTTGGCACACTGCAGCCTCCACCTCCCAGATTCAAGCGATTCTCCTGCCTCAGCCTCCGGAGTAGCTGGGATTACAGGCACCCGACTAATTTTTGTATTTTTAGTAGAGATGCGGTTTCACCATGTTGGCCAGGCTGGTCTCGAACTCCTGACCTCAAATGATGTGCCAGCCTTGGCCGCCAAAGTGATGGGATTGCAGGTGTGAGCCACGGCACCCTGTCGAAGTTGTCTCTTTTATAGTTGGTTGTTTAAAGATTCCAGCTAAGTCACCACATTGCATTTGGCTTAATGTCTGTAAAAGAGTCTCTTTTTAAAGCTTATAATTCTCAGGTCAAAAAAAAAAAAGTCTTTTTTAAGAAGTGATTTTTGTTATTTTTTTTAAACAAAAGTGTTGTGATTTTATCTTTCTTTCTCTCTTTTTTTCTTTCTTTCTTTTTTTTTTTTTTTTTTTGTAGGTTAGAACCATCGGAGAGCCTTGAGGAAAACCAGCGGAACCTCCTTCAGATGACTGAAAAGTTCTTCCATGCCATCATCAGTTCCTCCTCAGAATTCCCCCCTCAACTTCGAAGTGTGTGCCACTGTTTATACCAGGTATGCTTACAGTTAGAGATTACCTTTATTAACCTAAAGTTAAATTATGAAGAATGCTTTATTTATCAAAGAAGATCTAGCTGCTGATTGTGTGTCATTAACTATTATACTGAGTCAGTTTGGATGAATAATACATTGAGAATTGTTATTGGAATTGTCTTTGAAAAAAAGCTTAAATATTACTTAGACGACCGTTTCAAGTAAGAGAATACTTTAAAATACTAAATTTTCCTTGCATTGAGAGTAAGTTTTAAAATGCACTGAATCCATTGGATATGATGGATGTGGCTGAAAAGAACATATTATGGATTTTGTTGTTGTTATCTATTACCTAAATTACTCTCAGGGTGTTTCACAGTTGAAGTGGGTATCCTTCTTGCCTTTTGCATTCTGAATTGCTTGATCATCTGTAATTTTGGTTTCTTCATTTATGTATAATAATTATGTCAGGTTTTCCCAGGATAGACTGATTGTTCGGTTTATTTTATGTAGCATATTTCTTAAAAGAGATACTGCATCATCATTCAGACCAAATTATTAGACTTTCTAACACGAGCACTGAAGTAATGCTTCTGGATTCAGAAGATATCCATAGTCATGCCCTTCTTTTTGAGGAATTAGGTCTGCATTCTTTTACGCCCTCTGTGTTTTTGAATTGCACATTGCAGTTTTAGGAATAATTTATTCCAAGGGAGGTCCTGCAAATGCACATTAGGCTTTTGGAAACTATGATTCTGGAAGACACATTAGTGGGTCTGGAATTTGGGGTAGGGGTGGGTATAAGGGAAATACACAGTTATCAAAACCCATGTCTTTGTGTCTCTCTCTTTGCAGAGTCATCGCAGCCATTTGTTTTTTTAACACACGGCTTCAGTTGCTTAGAGACGTTAACAGCATCAGTGAGATCACCATTTTAAAAGCTGTTTGAGGCTGCGCTATATGAATTTTTTCCCCATTGCTATTTTTAAAGATGTATCTGTTCTATCTATAAAAAAGCTTTTCATGGTATACATAGATGATGAAACATACTTAACGTTGTCTCTCTTAATTTATCATGACTTTTCTGCCTTTTCAAAAAGGCTCAAGAAAACTTAGGAAAATCCTATATAATTTTTTCAAGTAGTTAAATCTGAGTCTAAAAGGCGATTTAGTTATAATATGAAACTTAATACAGTGAATATCTTAAGTTTGGGCTCTATTCAGGTTTCTCTTTAAAGTTTGTTTAGTAATTGTTTTATTGATGAAACTAGGCAGGCAGGGAAATAGAATCTATTAAAAATAGTTTGGGTCAGCTTCTTCGTTGGCCTAGCAGTAACTGATTTCAGAGAGCAAATGGGTTTCTAAAATTACAGTGGCTTTAACTTTAGCTAGTTAAAAGTGAATGGGGACTGACTATATGAATACATGGTCTAGAAGATTTTAGTAGAATTTCTTCATGTGGTTGTCATCCTAAAAGAAAAATCTTTTTGTATCATCAGCAAACTTAGAGACCAATTTGAGACCATGATTCTGATAATGTAAAAAGGAACAAGTCTTAGCACTTAGTTAGTACTTAGGAAATATTTAATGCAGAAATAAATTTTCTCATCCCTCCCACCTAAGTAAACAAGATTCTTGCCAACTTTCATAGTTAGGAAAGGAGAAAAATAGTGAAAATAGAAAATAGATTTTTAAATACTGTATGTTGTGATTATTAAACACTACATGTTGTGCTTTTTAGGGTACTTCACAATAAAATATCCTGTATTATCTTCATAACAAACCTGGATTATTATGTTAAAATTTCACATAAAATTATCTTTAAAAACGTGAATTAAATGTGGCATCACAGTGCCTTGTTTTAAGTATTGGATAAACTTAGCATCATTGAAGAGTAGAGACAGCATGCTGTGCTGTTATTAAATAAGGATTTGTTTTTTAATTAGTAACCGGTAACAGAGAATTTTACATTTACTGATTAGAAAGATAGGAAAAAAGCCTTGGTCTCAAGATAGTATTTTATTTAGTCTCCTTCCCAAACCTAGCTTTTTTTCCTTTTGGTTTGCTTTTTCGTTTTTATTCATCTTCCCTCTTGCCTTTTTTTTTTTTTTTTTTGCCCTTTTGCCTTTGAGGGTAACAGAAGAGTACCTTTGTACTTTCATGTTCTGCTTGGAGGGATAGTAGTCCTGTGGCTCCTGCTTTGGGACCTACTGGGGAAATTTTGAAAGCGAAGTGGGTATATTGCTAGCTAATAAACTTCCCTGGGTTTTAGCTCCTTTTTTGAGTTTGTATTTTGGCCTTTCAGCCTTTTCGGATTATGCTTTAACCAGCTCTATTACTTTATATACCTTCCTTCCTTAGTTGACTGGATTAAGGTTATTTAGGAATAGCCAACTGTGAACATGTGTCAGATTTATAATTAAGTCATTTTCTCATGTGTTGTTTTCACTTCTCCTGATGATCTTAGGATAAAATTATTCCCAGAGTGGATACTCTCTTATGTTATGGTGAGAGAATTCTAAGAACTAATTTACGATTCTAAATAAATCTCATCCTTTTTCAGTAAATCTGCTTCTCTAAACTGAAGTAGTTTACACAAATTTTTAAGGCTATAAATGATAGTTATGTACCATGGTTACTAATGCATTTGTATATAGTCTGAAGTTTGAAACAAAGCTCTGTGAGCTAAGGGACTGTGTCTTCCTGTTTTACTGCTGTTTCTCAATGCCTAAAATAGTATCTGACATGTAGGTGCCCAATAACTGCTTGGATGGATGAATAGGTGGATGGATGGATGGATAGATGGATGAATGGATGGGTGGATGAATGGATGTCTAACTAACTAACTTTAAGCCCAAGTTATGGGTTATGGTGTTGGATGCCCAGAATTCCTAGAATAAAATGCCATCTATTTGTGGATTAAATAATTCTGACTTGGTTTTTAAAATGTTTTAAAAATAATTATTCTGCCTAGGCTAGTCCAGTCAAGGGTCTTTTAATTTTGAAAGAACTCTTTGGTCTAGAAAAAGCTCTGAAAGATGAAACCAATATGTTTCTGGAGTTTTGGGTTTTTTTAGGTGGCTTTTTTTTTGAGACATTTTGATAAATGGTCACCTGTAATATGTGAAAAGTTTTAAGCAGGCCTGTAGTTTTGTTCTGTAATTTTCTCTGCAGTTTCTTCACTTTAATAATATTAATGCTTTTTACTAGTTGAGCTGATAACCTTCTTCTTCCAAATGTTGCAGAACTTTTAACCTCCTCTGATTAGAACCATTTCAGGAAGTAGCCTGCAAACACTGAAAAATATGTGAAATGTTAAGAATAATCTTTTTTAGGGAGAGAGAGATCTTAATTCAGAATTTCTAAAGTAAAGTTTTATATTTATCCATATAATTTTTATTTCTTTATTCAATAGGATCTTAATTAAATGCCAGGTATTGGAAAAAGAACTGAAAGTCAATTGAAGGATACACAGAGAAGAATTTTACATATGAAGAAAAAAAATTATGTAGACACAAATGTTTTTAGTGTGTGATCTACTTGTAATGAATATTTTATATTAAATTTCTCAAAAGCTAGGCATTAACTAAAATGTAAATATTTAATATCCTCAAATTCACTTGGGGAGAGTTTTTCTGTGATTTATAGCCAGAAATAGTAGACATGATTGGATCTCAACATTTCTTGCTGTTTGAGTGCTTGGCTTAAAAATGTAATAAAAATTAAAACCCAGATTTAAAATTCATTCCTCAAAATTCAGTTGATTTCTAATTTTTTGTTGATTCCATTTGTGTTACATTTTATCGTGTAATTTTATGTACAAGCCAACGTTGTTTTTGTTGCTGTATGTAGTCGGTGCTGTGACTTGTTTGTGCTCATCTCTGTTCTGTAGGCAACTTGCCACTCCCTACTGAATAAAGCTACAGTAAAAGAAAAAAAGGAAAACAAAAAATCAGTAAGTTTGGAGAACTTTTTATTAGCTGTTTCTTTCAAAGCAAAACAAAAATCTTTTGCTGTTTGTTAAGAACATCTTCACTTCAGCCTATTTGACCTTCACTGTAAAATCATTCTACTAATTCTGGCACAAAATAGCTTTCATTTCAATTAACCCTGGAATTAAGTTACATTGAAACATTCTCTGTGTTCCTTTGGTTTGATTTATCCCAAAGGCAATTTGTGGACATTTGTTGCATTGGATATCTTTGGTCTAATTTTATTGTTACTTTTTAAATTATAAATGAATACAAAGAAACTTAATTTCAAGGCCTTAGGAAATGCTGACTCTCTTCATTCTTGCTTCTTGTTTGCAGGTAATGTGAGTGGTTTCTTTTCCCAGATATGACAGTGTTTCTTAATTGTTAGAAGTATATGGTGGGAAAGTGTCACTTTCTAAACCTTACCTAAAAGTTGCTAAATTTTATTTTTTTTACTCTTCATATTTTTTATCTAGGCAGTTTCAGTCATAATTTAGATATTTGTGCATAGATAATAGAAATTTTAATGGTAAAAAATTATTTTTATCTCAGAAAAAATATGAGTAAATAAGATAGTACTTTTGAGATAAAAGAAAACTGAGTTCAAATTTGTAGAAAAACACATCATTCTGCAAACATAATGTGAATATACTATCAGCTTCTATGTACTTGCCCTAATTTATTTAAAAGGAAGAAATTTATGAGATTCGTAATTATTTTCTTATAATTAATGGAATTTGTCCAAAATGTAACATGCATTCATTTTATATTTATTGTTATCTGTCAGTGTGACTTATCAGGCTGAGCCCTATCTTTGTTCATACAATCCAAATGATTGTAGAGTAAGATGTAAAGAAAACTTTTAGGAGTCAGGTAGGTAGTTTTCTTAAAAAGTTATAATTTAGAATACAGTTTTCATCTGGTTTTATCTTTTATTCCTTGTCTGAACTTTACATATAATAAAGCTTTATGGCTGAGCACAGTGGCTCATACCTGTAATCCCAGCACTTTGGGAGGCCAAGGTGGGAGGATCTCTTGAGACCAGGCATTCAAGACCAGGTTGGGCAACATAGTGAGTCATCTCTACAAATAATTTTTTTTAATAAGCCAGGCAAGGTGGTATACTCCTGTAGTCCCAGTTACTTGGGAGGCTGAGGCAGGAGGATTGCTTGAACCCAGGCAGTTGAGGCTGCAGTGAGCCATGATTGTGCCACTGTACTCCAACTTGAGTGAGAGAGTAAGACCCTGTCTGCCCCCCCCCCAAAAAAACAAAACCAGAAAAATAAAAAAGAAAAAGCTTTACATATGTTTCTAAGCTTTACATGTAGATTTTCTAAGCTTTAAATACAAATTTTTTAAAATTTAAATCAAAATTTAAATTTATAGACATACACTTTTATTGTATCCATTGAAGTTTTTGAGTATGTTAAGTAAATTTGACTAGCTATGATTTCATTGATTGGATTATAAAGACATTTCTTTCTAATGCTTCAGCCTTCTAATTCTCAGCATATGTGAGTTTAACAATGTACACCATCGTTGAAATTAATTTGCTGCTTCTAACACTCTTGTTCAGTGTTATACTAATGCCATTTTGTAGTGTATCACATAATTAAAATTCAGGCTTTCCGTGTTTCTCTAGAGCATGTTTTCTAGCCTTCCTAATATTGCTTTATTTATTAAGATTTTGTCTAAAATTGTTTCTTGAAATGTTTTTTTCTACTAGAGTTATTTTCAAAAAAATTTTTTCTGTAATTTCTGGGTAATGCTGTTTTGGAATGTATTTCTCAGCACAGGTAATATGAGCTCCTCATGGAAACAAGGGGAATCTAATTGGTAATTTGAGATATTTCAGAGAACATTCCAAAGTATGAAGACAGTATACTCATAAATTTAAAATGTTGTTTTATGAAGTTGTGTGCTTTAACAAAATGTAATGATCCTTCCTTTAAGAGCAAGCTGACTTTCTTTTCGGGTATACATATCATGGATTGGAATATGTAAAATACAGAGAGAAGATCTGGCTTCTAGTATATAGCTGTGTCGTCATATTACAGTTAACTGTTTATTATTCTCAAACATACAGTGTATAATGAGGTTTACTTTGGAAGTTAACTGTCTGCCTAACTCAGGGAGAATGCAGTAAACTAATCGTGTATGGGTAGTAATGCTCTTGCTGAAGTGCAGTTTATGACTGCATGCACTTGCATTATGTAGTTCAGCTTTTACCAACGGAAGGAAGGGGACATTTGGCTGATAACTGGTCTCAACACACAAACAGGCCCACCTTTGACCTTTTGTGCAGAATGTCTTTTGGATCCAAATTAGATTTTTATGAATTAAAAAACTGCTAGAGAGTGTATATATTATGAGGTAAAATTACATTGATGTCAATTAATGGTGAATGGAAAAAGCAGTCCTTTTTATAAGCTGACTTATGAAACTTGTTATATAGCATTTTCATTGATATTGGTTTTTTAATCAGTCTTTAGTTCTAAAATTACATTGATTCTGCCATCAGTGAGATATATGTATTTGATATATGAAACAGTATGTGTTCTTGAGGTGTGGCTATTTTGGGTTTTGATGTGAATTATTTTTAAAGATGTGGAAGATGGTAAAAATGTGATTTTTTGGTAAATTTTACAATATTCTTTTGGGAAATCAATCAGCTTTGCGTTAAATTCTGATGCTGAGTACCATTAAGTATAAATAGAGTGTAAATATAAGTCACACTTTAAAACTCCTTTGTCCTGGGGAAAACCAGTAAATATAGCTACTTTCAAAAAAGTGTTTCATCCAGTTATGATTACCATTACAATTTCCTTGTTCCTTCTCCACTCCCAGTGCTTCATTTTACTAGCATTAAAAAAAAAGTATTTTGGCCGGGCGCGGTGGCTCACGCCTGTAATCCCAGCACTTTGGGAGGCCGAGGTGGGTGGATCACGAGGTCAAGAGATCGAGACCATCCTGGTCAACATGGTGAAACCCCGTCTCTACTAAAAATACAAAAATCAGCTGGGCGTGGTGGCGCGTGCCTGTAATCCCAGCTACTCAGGAGGCTGAGGCAGGAGAATTGCCTGAACCCAGGAGGCGGAGGTTGCGGTGAGCCGAGATCCCCCCCATGGCCCCCAGCCCGGGGAAAAAAAACCAAAACTCCGTCTCAAAAAAAAAAAAAAAAAAAAAAAAAGGTATTTTGAAAGCTCTCCATGTGTTTCACAGCAGGTTAACATTTTATAAACTAACTGGTTCTTTAAAATTAAACTATGGCTTTTAGCTTTTTAAAAACCATTTTAGGATTTTAATAGGTTAAATTGATTAGGTGCTAATTCTTTTAAAACAATCTATTTTAAAATAATTATAAAGCAATTTTTAATCCTTTTCTTGCCTGCTAACTCACTCCTTAAAGGCTTTAAAATGTTATAGGTTTGTTTTGTCTGCCTTTTTTTCCCCTCCCTCCCTCCCTCCCTCCCTCCCTCCCTTCCTTCCTTCCTTCCTTCCTTCCTTCCTTCCTTCCTTCCTTTCTTTCTTTCTTTTCTTTCTTTTCTTTCTTTTCTTTCTTTCTCAGTCTCTCTATCAGTTAGGCGGGAGAGCAGTGGCAAGATGGCTCACTGCAACCTCCAGCTCCCAGGTTCAAGCAATTCTCCTGCCTCAGCCTCCCAAGTAGCTGGGATTACAGGTGTGTGCCATCACACCTGGCTAATTTTTGTATCTTTAGTAGAGATGGGGTTACACCATATTGGCCAGGCTGGTCTCGAAATCCTAGTCTCAAGTAATCCATCTGCCTTGGCCTTCCAGAGTGCTGGGATTACAGTCATGAGCCACCATGCCCAGTCAGAGAATTGTCTGTTTTAAGATTAAAATTTGGGAGTTTTAAAAGAACCGCTCAGTAGCAATGATGGTCTATGAATATTCTAAAATTATGTGAAGAAGTTTGTCTGTGTGAATGCATACATTCATTTTTCTAACCTTTATCAGATTTCATAGAGGTTCCTTGTCCCCAGAAGGTTGAACTGCACTAGAATAGTCAAAGCACTCGAATTTTTTTCTTAACTCTATATCTTTAGTTTTAGCTAAAACTTCTATATCTACTAAATTTATATATTTCAGCTAGTATTTAGGTTTTAAAGTCATTTTAATAAAGCAGCTATATTTAGCCACATTTACCAGTTTCCCCTTATTTAAGTGTTAAGGTTGTTCTTCATGCAGTAAGCACTGTAACAAAGAAAGCTTTCTGCACTATGTGTAGTGTTCCTGAAGGCGGGACTATATTAGTTACAACTCACCTCTTTTATCACCTCTTACAAATATTTTATTCTCTAAAACCTAATTTTTACCCACTTCCTATTGATTATAGAAAGCTATTTTGAGATTATAAGCAGATATGAACGAATTTAAAATGTGGACTCCATGAAGCACTACATTAAACAGGTTGAAGGGAAATAATCCCTGTTCTTTCAAGAGTTAATCTGGAGTCAGCCATGTGAATTTATGACAGGAATATTGATTTATTGAGGCATTGTGAAAAAAAATAGTTACGTGATATTCCACATGTAAATCTGCCCCCCGCCCCTGAAACCAATATCCTTTGAAATGAAGGTTTATCCTTGGAATCACAGAATATTGAGTGGAATGCTACAGCTTTGTAATCACTGCCACTTTATTTTTATTTATTTATTTTTTTTGCCGAATCCTAACCACTAGACTACCAGGGATAGTCACTGCTACTTTAAATAGCAGTTAGCCACACTAAGCAAGACTAGCTGTAGAGATTAAAATGTTAAGTTAAATGTTCTTTAAAAATAAATATATATAGTATATATAAAAAATGTAAATTGCAAAATAATATAATTTTCATATATAACATGATTTAAAGCAAGGGATGCTAGGAAGGTATGGGAGCTAAACCAATTTTATAGCACTCTCCTCAATCTAAGGTACCTTTTACTTTATCTTAATGTAGAATGTTTCATAAAGGGAAAATAAGTCCACTTTAAATATTGGGTTCACATTGCTTTTCAGGCTGGACAACCATTTCTTGAATTCTTAAAATTTTTTTTTTTATTTGACAATTATAAATTGAGGCAGACATAGGGTTTCTCTCTTCTGGTGAGATCCTTTTTGCTTTTAGGTAACCAAGAATTCCCATCCCTCCATGGTCTAAATAATAGGTAGGTCCTTATATTATAAAGGAAGTTGTGAAGAAAAGGAGCTGGCAATAACATTGCTTGTAAGTAAGTTCCCCCCCCTCGGGAATCTAAGATTTTGTTTTGTATATGGCAAGCATTTTTTCTTGAATTCAGTTGTAACTGGTACACAACAAAATGTAAATATGTACTATTAGGTATAGGATGTTTTGGGGGTGTGCTGTTGAAAATTTGGTTTCACCTTATAAAGTTAACCACACTTTCATGTCTGTTAATTTTAGTAAATTATGATCATCTTTGTGTAAAAATTTGGTCTGCTTTCATTACTTATCAAACTTGCAGTATAAGTGATGATACAATGGAGATCTTTTTTCAGGTTTCGTCTACCCATCTCATCCATGAGGTTTTTCTTTCCTCCGAGATACCTGAGTTGTACTTTAATATGATACGAGACTGAAATTAAGAGGAAACTTTATTTTCTCATTTTTGGGAGAAGAAAAAGATAGAAGTGTGTCATTCATGAGGACTGATTGATTCAGAGTTTTTGTGCAAAGTTTGATCTTTGAGCTCTTTGTTCCCATGTCCTTATTTTAATTCAAACCTTATACTCAATTCTCAACTCCTTGTTTTTAGGTGGTTAGCCAACGTTTCCCTCAGAACAGCATTGGTGCAGTAGGAAGTGCCATGTTCCTCAGATTTATCAATCCTGCCATTGTCTCACCGTATGAAGCAGGGATTTTAGATAAAAAGCCACCACCTAGAATCGAAAGGGGCTTGAAGTTAATGTCAAAGGTGAATTATTTTGATAATCTAGCTATCTTAAACTCCCCTCCCAACTGAATTTTCAGCTTTTCTTATAGTACTTCCTCTTACATTTATATTTTAAATTCCCTATGGTTTTCAGTTATGTGTTTTTGTTTTATTTTGTTTAAATTACTAAGGAATTCATTAGTTAGATACCTGATGGACCTTATTTTCATGAGAAAACATTTTATTACAGTAAATGTCTTGTGTTATGAAGATCATTATCTGTGTAATCATTCTAGACATTCTGAAACAGACTAGAAAGTAGGCTATAGGATTTTTTATTTTAAAAGACATTAAACATTTTAATATGTATTTTTATATGTAAATATAGTAATTATATTTTGGAAGAATAGAAACACTACCTAAAATTTATAGAATGAGGAGTGATTGATTTTAACTACTAGCAGAAATTTTATCAATGAGAAAATTCATATTTTTAAAGAATATATTAATGTATAGACTTCATACAATAAATAATCTGATTATTTACAACCCTGTTTTATTGTGTAGATACTTCAGAGTATAGCCAATCATGTTCTCTTCACCAAAGAAGAGCACATGCGGCCTTTCAATGATTTTGTGAAAAGCAACTTTGATGCAGCACGAAGGTAAGCTACCTGCCACGTATTCAGTTACTCTGTTTGAGTCAAATATTTTCAGTTTCATTTAAGTCCATGTACTTGTTTTACATGAAGCTTCTGTGTAGGTTTTTTCTCTTCCTGCTCTAGGTCAAGACATAACTTGTCTTATTTTACTGTAAAAGTCATGAAATAAATTAATATTTTTTATAATTTGGTAGTGATTTTCATATTTGAAAACCGAGTGATTTTTGACATGTCTAGTTAAATAAAGGATTTGAGGATGTTACAATAAGGAGAAAGGGAGAAGTAGGATTCCTTTTATTTAAAACTAAAACCAAACTGGTATCGATAATACATAACGATGTATAGTAAGGATTTTTTTTTAATGTTAGAATATTTGCGATACTTACATTTGGAAGTGTATCTAAACTAAAATGTTATTTAAACCAAGTAATGCAGACGTGTAAGATTTTGTTCATGAGTAACTGAATGTTGATTTTAGAAAACTTTTCTGCTGGATTTCCATAACTATTTTACTTTATTTCTCTGAGTTATTGATTTATCTGTAAAGTAGTGATAAACACTGTTTGCCTGAGTTGTTTTTAGAGGAAAAAAAACGAGACAATTAATAAGAAAGTGCTTTGTAAATTTATGTCTGGAATTCTGCTTTTCATGCAGTGTGAATCTAATTGATCCTCATCATCTAAACTAGACTTGTATAACCCTTTCTTCCAGCTTATCATCATTGTAGTTGTTACTGACTTTTTCGTGTTAGGGAAATTGGAGTTTAAAAGGTGTACTGCTGAAGTACAAGCCATATTGGAAAGAGAGTAAATATCAGCACAGGATTCATATTCTGGCAGACTGAATACTCATAGAAAGTTAAAAAGATCAAAGTTTTAATCCTGGCTCTGACCTAACAGGCTATATATTTTTGGGAGGTCTTTTGTCTGGACCTTAAATTTCCTTGTCTGTAGCCTCTTGCCAAAGTTTTATCCATCTCAATTTTGTTGTTCTCTAACTTCAAAGCCTACTCTGAAGCTGGTGCCAGGGATCAGAAATGGAAAGCGAACTTTCTCCTTGTCCGTCTTGCTTTGTCTAATGACAAGTCACATTGTGTGAACAAGCCCTTCATATTTGTAATCTCAGTTATTTCACAAAGTTACATCATATTTATTTAATTCAAACGTAAGTCTGGCTGTATCTGGTATTGGAAATTCTAATGATTTTGCGTTTTTGAAGGTTTTTCCTTGATATAGCATCTGATTGTCCTACAAGTGATGCAGTAAATCATAGTCTTTCCTTCATCAGTGATGGCAATGTGCTTGCTTTACATCGTCTACTCTGGAACAATCAGGAGAAAATTGGCCAGTATCTTTCCAGCAACAGGTAAGATTTCCCAGTCATGGGGATAGTGAACACTCTCCATTTAAATTTAGATTAATAAAATTATTGGTCATGAATAGTGCTTTTTACTTGGCACCTTCTTGGACTAAGAATTATGGTTTAGAAAGAGAAAGACTCTTTTTTCAAAAAAAAAAAAAAAATACAAAGAAAAGGTTAAGTCATATTAAGTCAACAAACCTACTTAGGTTCCAGTGATGATGATGATGATGATGATGATGATTTTTTTTTTGTCAAGTTAAAAAATCACAAATTAGCTCTTTGGGTTTTTATGGCTTGCAAATTGTCATAGACCCAAAGAAGTTTAAATTAGTGTTGGCGTTTGAATCTGAAGGACAGCTAATTCTTAGGAGTTTAGTAATTAAAATATTGTCAGTGTTTTAATTCTATGATGGACTCATTTGTGATACTCTAAGTATATGCAAATAAAGCTTTATATAGAAAATACTGGCCTGGAACTGTGGCTCACACCTCTAATCTCAGCACTTTGGGAGGCTGAGTCGGGCAGATCACCTGAGGTCAAGAGTTCAAGACCAGCCTGGCCAACATGGTGAAACCCCATCTCTACTAAAAACACAAAAATTAGCTGGGCATGGTGCCTATAATCCCAGCTACTTGAGAGGCTGAGGCAGGAGAATCTCTTGAACCTGGGAGGTGGAAGTTGCAGTGAATTGAGATCACGCCATTGAGCTCCAGTCTGGGCCGCAAGAGTGAAACTCCGTCTCAGAGAAAAAAAAAATTAAAAATTGAAATTAATTTGGGCATTGTTTCATTAGCTCTTATTAGTCTCTTTTGTAACATAAATTACTTGCTATCCCATCTAGTTATATACATTTGTAAAGAGACCAAATTCCTGTGTTTGAGGCATTCCTTACAAAGGAAAAATGAGTCCAAATTATTTTTAAATGCCAATAAAAATGGTTAGTACTTTCATGGGAAAAGTAGCAGACTATGGAGCTAAGGCTAAGCAATTGGGAGATGGGAGTTTAAACAACAGGGCATTTTAACCTTTTATGAATTATTAATGGATTGAAATAGACATGGGCCTGAGGTCTTTTTGTTGCTGTTTACAAATCAACAGAGACCACCAGCTGACAGTAAAAGGAAAAACAACCAGTGACAAGTTAAAGAAATATATACTGCTAAATGTGAACTGCTACTTTTTTTCTAAGTAGTTTGCTATATCTAGGGATCATAAAGCTGTTGGAAGACGACCTTTTGATAAGATGGCAACACTTCTTGCATACCTGGGTCCTCCAGAGCACAAACCTGTGGCAGATACACACTGGTCCAGCCTTAACCTTACCAGTTCAAAGTTTGAGGAATTTATGACTAGGTAAAGTACAACTTGGAATGTTGATTGCTTTCTTTTTGGTTGAGAAGCAGAGTTTACCACCAGGCCACTTGTTAGATATGATAGAAGACTATGAGGAAAGATGTGTCTAATAATTGCATTACCATGTTTGGGGAGCCAACCTTTCTCCTGCGCTATATATTACTTATATATATAGGATATGTTTTATATGTTGTTAGAAAAATGGTAACAAATCATATTTTATCATCTTGCTTTCATATGTTTTCACATTTAATACTTAGCAGGGAGTGAAGACAACATTATTTTCAAATTATAGTTAAGGAAAAAGCAGCTCAATGTGAATAATTGGCTTGCTTAAGATTCCATGTCTGGTTCATAGGTCTTTTGGTTTTAAGTGTAGGACTTTCTACTACACTATAGCATTTTTTAGAACCTCATAAAGGATAATGGTTTTAACTTCTTTTAGATTAAGGTTCAGAAAATATAGTGTACCTCAGTATTGCTATAAAATTTCAGTGGACATTTGTTTTGAATCCCAGTTAGTGGAATTTAGTTAGTGAACAAAAAGATCCTCATTGTTAGACACTTACTCTATGATGATACAGTGAGAGTAGCCTGCTGAATCTTTTAAAGTACCTTTCACAGTACTTTATGCTTAGTAAGTGCGCCATAGTGTCTGTGAGTTGAGTGTTAATGTTCATAGTATGTTCCAAAACAAAAGAACTAAACAGAATCTGATGAAAAGAAGTTAAAGATTTGTATATAATATGCCTTGAATTATAATTGCCTGTTGTATTACATATAGGTCATAGTTTGGTACATATAACTCCAAACCATTGATACTGTTAAAAGAATATATGAAAGAAAGTATAAACAGAATGTATGACTTTATAATGTCTTTTCCAAATTAATTTTTATTTTTAACTCTATTAAATTTTTCTCAGTATAACAAATGTTTATTCCTATGTAATTAAGGACATATTTTCCATACAGAATATTCACATTACCTAATTTATATAATACAAAAATATAAAACTATTTTTAGACCAGGCATGGTGGCTAATACCTGTAATCCCAACATTTTGAGAGGCCAGGGTGGGAGAATCACTTGAGGCCAGGAGTTCAAGACTAGCCTGGGCCGCATTGTGAGACCTTGTCTTTATTAAATAAGTAAGTAAGTAAGTAAGTTGGGCACAGTGACTCATGCTTGTAATCCCAGCATTTTGGGAAGAGGATTGCTTGAGCCCCGCCTGGGCAACATAGCAAGAGTCTGTCTCTACAAATAATAAAATATTAACCAGGTGTGGTGGTGCACACCCGTAGTCCCAGCTACCTGGGAGGCTAAGGTAGGAGGATTGCTTGAGTCTGGGAGGTTGAGATTGCAGTGAACTGTGATTGCACCACTGCATTCCAGCCTAGGTGACAGAACGAGACCTTCTCTATAAATAAAGAAATAACTAAAAATATAAATTAAGTAAAAAGAAATATAAGTAAATAGAAATATAAATAAATATATAAATATAAAAACGAATAAATCAAAACTAACAATTTTCAAATTTAACATCACTGATGGCATCGTAGCCATTTTTCTATTTTTCTAGGAAAAAAAAAAATTTTTTTTAAGAGACAGGATTTCACCATATTGGCCAGGATGATCTTAATCTCCTGACCTCATGATCCACCCGCCTTGGCCTCCCAAAGTGCTGGGATTCCAAGCGTGAGCCACTGCACCTGGCCTGGAAAATATTTTTATTACTCCTTTTTTTTCTAAGATCCTATCTTCCCTTACAAAGCAGTCTTTTGTGCTTTTGAAGATTAAGTTATCTAATATATATATAATAAGGACAGTATCTGGTACTTGTAAAGTGTTTAATAAACGTTAGATTTTATTTTTGTTTTAAATACCCACTGATGCTCCTGGAGACCCATTTTCTTTTTTTAAAAAATGAAGGTAGCTTTATAATCTTAGTTCTTAAAAAAACAATTAAATTACTCAGTATACAAACCTAAAGAAGAAAGTAACAAAATTAAAAATTGTTTATCCTCCCTTTTAGAAATAATTAACATTTGTTGAATAGCCTTCCAGTCATTTATCTATGCACATGTATATTTGTTTCTCCTATCAAATGATATCTAGATTGTTCCATTAATATTTTTTAAATGTTGACCTGGTACCAGCAGCTTGATGGGCTGAGCTAATACAATCTTCTTCCCAAGACACAAGACTCATAGAAATACTAGGTGTAAAAGAAAATATGTATACTTAAAAAAATTTAGGCCAGGCATGGTGGCTTACACCTGTAGTCCCAGCAGTTTGGGAGGCTGAGGCAGGGGGGTCACCTGAGGTCAGGAGTTGGGAGACAAGCCTGACCAACATGGTGAAACCCTGTCTACTAAAAACAAACAAACAAAAATAGCAGGATGTGCTGGTGGGAGCCTGTAATCCCAGCTACTTGGGAGACTGAAGCGGGAGATTTGCTTAGACCTGGGAGGCAGAGGTTTCAATGAGCTGAGATTGCGCCACTGCATTCCAGCCTAGGCAACAACGGCAAAACTCTGTCTCAAAAAAAAAAAGGGAAAAAAAATTTTTTTTTAAATTTATAACTGGAAGATAGTTTCCAGGCAGATTACCTAGTGTAAAGTCAGTACAGATGGATAAAGAAATGGAAAATATGAAAAAGATAACAGATGCAGAAGATAGAATGCGAAGTTCCAACATATATCTAGTAGGTGTTCCCTAGAAATTGAGCTCAGTGAGAATAGAAAGAAGTAATATTTGAAAAGATAATAGAAGAACGTTTTCTAGAGTTGATGAATGACATGAATCTTGAGATTAAAGAAGCACACTAAGTCTTGAGCAGACTATATAAAAATTAAACCTTTGGGAGGCCGAGGCGGGTGGATCACGAGGTCAGGAGATCGAGACCATCCTGGTCAACATGGTGAAACCCCGTCTCTACTAAAAATACAAAAAATCAGCTGGGCATGGTGGCATGTGCCTGTCATCCCAGCTACTCAGGAGGCTGAGGCAGGAGAATTGCCTGAACCCAGGAGGCGGAGGTTGCGGTGAGCCGAGATCGCGCCATTGCACTCCAGCCTGGGTAACAAGAGCGAAACTCCGTCTTAAAAAAAAAAAAAAAATTAAACCAGGCTTTTTCAGAAGTGTATTTTAATACATATGGGAACATCATATATGATAAAAGTGATATTCAAAATCACAAAGATTAGGATGGACTTTCAATAAGTAGTGTTGTTACAACTCAGTAATGATCTGGAAAAATATTTTCATACCATTTGTGAGGATAAACTCCCATAAATCAAAGAAAAAAAACTTGGGCAAAGCAAGACCTTTTTCATTCATTCAAAATCCATAAACTAGAAAAGAAAAGGTTGATAAAATGAATTCATTACAAAATCATAAACTTCTTTTTGGGGCAAAAATGTCATGAGTAAAAACAATCCTGTGGTTAATATCCTTGTCCAATAGTTCTCTGAGAATAGTGCTAAAAGTGCTTTTGTGGTTCAAAGAGTAGTATCTTGAAATTTTTGGTGCATGTTGCCAAATTACCCTTTGGTATATCTGTTGCTTTTAAAACTTTTTTTCATTTTAGTATTTTATTGTTTATCCAATTATAGACTTTTTTTTTTACATACTCAGTAGGCAATATAAAGCCTCAGAGTTACTCTGTTCTTTTTCTTTTAGGCATCAGGTACATGAAAAAGAAGAGTTCAAGGCTTTGAAAACGTTAAGTATTTTCTACCAAGCTGGGACTTCCAAAGCTGGGAATCCTATTTTTTATTATGTTGCACGGAGGTAAGAAATACTATGTTTTGGTGTCTCTAAACAGAGTATTTTAAATGATAGCAAATACAGAAAGATGGCAAGTTTGGTTTTTCCCATTTGACCTAACAGGAATTGAAGACAAGTTTACCTGGGAGCACATAGCAGGGTAAATAGTCTGCCTTTCCTAAAATGGTGTTCAGCATCTAGTAACTGCTTTTCAGACTACCCATTTCATATTGGTTTCTCTGTCCTACATCATTTTTTAAAATACAGCCTACAAAGGTTTAATTACCAAAAGTTAAAAACCCACAAAGAATCTTTTATTTTCAAGTATATTCTGATTAAATAGTATACACAACATGATAACCGGGAACTTTTTATTCAAGAAGAAATTAAACTCTAAGAGCCTATTTCTGAGAACTTTTAATAATATGCTATGTAAGACAGCATCAGGGTGATTTAGAAAGTAATTCAAGGGACTGGTGGGAAGTCTCTGTGAAGATGGTGCAAGGGGTGGCCTGGAAAATGGTGCTTGTTCATGCTGCCCTCAGTCAAGGCTAGTTCCTGAAAGCCTGCCTGGAAATGTTGTGAGCTCCTCCTTAATAATAGTTATGATGCTTGCATTGCTTTCCCTACCATTGTTTTTGCTTTTTGTTTTGCCTCATTTTACCTTCCTTTTGAGAACTCATCTGTGACATTATTTGGTCAGTTTTACTTCTTTCCATTTACCACGACATACATTCATGGTAATCGAGCCTTAGAGACACCATGATGCATAGAGAGACCACTGACTTTCGAATCTCAAGGACCATGTTTAGACTTAGTTCTGCTGCTCATTAGCTATAGACCTAATCTTTCCCAGTTTCCTGAATTTAACAGTATTTAACATCCATGACCATTAAGTTAGTAGACTTACATTGTTAGTCAACTTGCTGGCTACATGAGGTTGAGAAATACTGGATGGTGAAAGAACATCAGTGGAAGATAGGAAACTTGTCTAATTGGGTCATTCAGATAGCCTTAAGACCAAGAAGTCCAAAGGACTGGGGTATTAGGAAATCAAGAAAGTAAGAAAATTGCATTGAACCTTCCCTCACCCCCTACCCTTTAACAACTCTAAGTAACCCCTCCTCACCTTCTCATGAAAGGCCTGTCTCCAGCTCTCATCTCAGTTGCCATTTCTAAATTGCCTATGATGATTTAAATTTTCTTTTGCACTTGAGATGAACCATATTTGTATTCTGACCCCATCCTTTAATACAACCAGAGTATTTTTACTTTCCCTATTTTCTCTAAGTAAGCAAACATTGGTGAGGGAGGTAGAAGACGTGTGTCCCCCTCCTCTTTAAAATCTTATTAGTTTACAAATAGCAAAGATTTCTGGAAAACAAAGCTGGGTTTTTTTTTTTTTTTTTCAGGATCAGAAACTATTATGTTTGTATTCCTTCTTTGTGGTGATCTAGAAGAAGCTAAAGGAAAGCACATTGGGCCTGTTGCAGATCCCTCAGTGAGATTCAGTCAGTGGGGTTTCCATGAAACCTGTTGAGTCTTATGGCTTGAGAATGCTAAGGATTCTCAGCTCTGCTGCTTATTAGCTGCATAATCTTTTTTTTTTTTCCTTTTCTTTTTTTTTTTTTTTTTTTTTTTTTGAGTTGGAGTTTCATTCTCGTTGCCCATGCTGGAGGGCAATGGTGTAGAGATCACTACAGCCTCTGCCTCCTGGGTTCAGGTGATCCTCTTGCCTCAGCCTCCCGAGTAGCTGGGATTACTGCACCACCATGCACCACCTTGCCTAGCTAATTTTGTATTTTTAGTAAAGATGGGGTTTCACCATGTTGGCCAGGCTGGTCCCAAACTCCTGACTTCTGGTGATCTACCTGCCTCAGCCTCCCAAACTGCTGAGGTTACATGCATGAACCACTGTGCCTGGCCTTAGCTACATAATCTTAGATAAGTTTATTTTTCCAAATCTGTTGCTTCATATGTTAAAGCTGGGGTGTGTGCTTATACAAACTATGAGTTTCCTATTAAGTGTTTTGTGATCTATAAAGTTGTGTAAGGAGTAAATTTGGGATTTTCTTTCTTCCTTTCTTTTTTGGGGGCATATGGCCCTGTCACTTTCAGATTTTCTGTCCTTTTAGTTTCTTACTTAGACCTACTGGAGCTCCTCCTGGCCTTCATTTTCACCTGGTGTGAGGCCTAGCCCCAGGACAGATGAGTACACAGTACATCAGAGCAAAACATCCATTTACTCATTATGAAGGTCTTGTCTGTCTGTATGCCATGAGCTTTGTCAAAGAACACTTGGGTTTGACTTCTCTTTTGTTATTCCTGTGTTTCTGTGGCTTAGACTACTATGTATTAAGTAATGCTTTTTGAATTATGGATTTTCCAATCTCCTTATATAGTCCGCAGACGTGTCCAAAACTTAATTCAATGTATCTTCAACCTCCTCTTCGCACCATATTTCTCTTTTTCAGTAGCATCATCATCCCTTCTAGTTCCCCATCTAGAAACCCTAATAATTTAAAATTCTTTCCTCTTACTTCTTTTATCTTCCTCTTTGTTAGTCACCAAATCTTGATTTTACCTGTGAGATCCTGGGCAGTCAATTAAGTTGTTTTAGTTAGGCTTTTATTGCAAAGCAGTCATTTGTATTTTCTCAAGGATACTTCTTAGGAAAAGCATGAGTTAGAGCAGAGCCTGCCCAGATATAGAGAGAACTAGATAGCTGTGGGTTCTGGAACTGGCTACGCTCTGTCTGTCTCTTGGTTTTGTACTCAACTCTACCTCATGATTTTCTTCTTTCTGTATCCTTCCAGCTTTTGCCCCAGATAGTTACCCCTTTATTATCTCAGTACTGCACATCTAAAATTCCAGAAAGAAAATATGATTCAGCTAAAAAGTATCTTTGTCCCCCATCGTTTTTTAAAATACTAACTACAAAGGATTAGCAGAACCTTTAATGTTAGGTGCTGGCCAGCCAGTTGATTTCTGGCTGCCCCTAAATCCAATATGTGCTCCTGTCCCAGCAGTCATGTGATTCAAATGTGACCACTTGGTGCTGTTTCTTCATTAGGGGGTTGTTCTTAGGTACGTGTTTTAATTTTTTTTTTTTTTTTTGAGACAGGGTGTACTCTGTTGCCTAGGCTGGAGTGCAGTGGCACTACCATGGCACACTGCAGCCTCTAGCTTCTGGGCTCAAACAATCCTCCTGCCTCATACCCCCAAGTAGCTGGGACTACAGGTGTGCACCACCACACCCAGCTAATTTATTTTTTATTTTTATTTTTAGAGATGAGGTCTTGCTATGTTGCCCAGGCTGGGCTTGAACTCTTGGGATCAATCAGTCCTCCTGCCTCGGCCTCCTAAATTGATGGGATTACAGGTATAAGCCATCACACCTGGCCTAATTTTTTTTTTTTTTTTTTGGTTGAAACTTAATGGTCTAATACTACCATTAGGTACCTTGGCCATGTCTTTTGAAACCATTTCCCCTCACTGCATTGCTGGAACTCTCATTGTTTCTTACCTATACTAATGTAGCATTATTGTCCTCTTCCTTCATCCCCAGAGACTACTTACTTCCAGGTCACCTTAACATTTCTTCTGGAGCCAGTTTTCAGTACAAAGCTTGTCTTTCTCATTGACTCCCTATATAAAGTCCAAGTTCTGTAGTCAGACAGGCAAGGTAATTTTGGCCTAATTTACTTTTCTGATCTTTTCCTGCTAACCCATCCCATATACTTACGCTCTTGCCTGTAGTAAAGTAGCATCATACAAGGACATTGTTACAACATTGTTTATGTAGTGGCAACAAAAAGGAAAACAATAGAACTGTGTTTTAAAAGGGGAATTGTTGAATAAATGATGATACATTATGTTAGGAAATAATGCAGTGTGTTAATTTTGCTTGTTACAAGTGACAGAAATGCATTTCAAATTTATGTGTGCCAAAAAGGAATTTATTGACTCATGTACCTAAGAAAATCAAAAGATGTACTAGTTTCTTGCATGACTAGATGCAGAGCTTTGAACAATATCATCTGGAGAACATCTGTCTTCTCTGGCTCTTGACTCTACTTTCTTTGTGTTGGTTTTATTCCCAAGCAGCTCCTCCCAACCTGTGGCCAGCAGTGGTTTGTGTTCTCCCACCTTAATAATCTCAGTGGAAAAACACCCCTTCCCCAGTTTTGTGGTTTCAGCAAAAGTGGTTGGTCTTATTGGCCTGGCGTGAGTCATGTGCCAATTTCTAAGGCAGTCACTATGGCAAAGGGGGATGGCATTTCTTTGTTACCTAGGCCTGGATCATGTGCCCCTTTCTGGAACGCAGTGGTAAAGCCAGCCCTGCCCAAATTGCATGAACTAAAAGATGGGCATGGGGGCAGGGTTTTCACAAAGGAAAATTGAATTGCTGTTACCAGAATGAGGAAAAATGAATACTGGGCAGGCAGAAGTAGCAGATGTCCTCTATATGAAGCTTTAAAACGTCCGAGAAGGATGACTCTGACACTTATCTTACAAGGTACATGACACTGTGTGTGCACCTGCACATGTGTATGTGTAGACTGAGAAGTGTATGAAACTGTACACTTTAACCATTCACATTGCTTATCTCAGAAGTATGATTGGAGGGGATAGAGGACCAATTTAATATTTCTGCTTATATCTCTGTATTGTTTGGCTTGCCAGGAGCATATATTATTTTTGTAAGAATAATTAAAAATAATAAAACCCCAAAGAGGCTGGGCGTGGTGGCTCACATCTGTAATCCCAGCACTTTGGGAGGGTGAGGCAAGGAAATCACTTGAGCTCAGAAGTTCAAGATCAACCTGGGCAGCATGGTGAAACCCCGTCACTACAGAAAAATACAAAAATCCACCAGACATAGTGGCATACACCTGTAGCCCTGGCTACCCAGGAGGCTGAAGGGGCGAGTCACTTGAGCCTGGGAGGTCAAGGCTGCAATGAGCCAAGATCGCACTACTGTACTCCATCCTGGGCAACAGAGTGAGGCCCTGTCGCAAAGAATAAATTCAAAAACAAAAAAACAAAAAAAACTCCCAAGTTACAATGAAGAGTTTTCCTCTTAGAAATATTGTGATACTGGCAATTGCTTTTTGGGTGTTAGGATATGTTAGCTATTATCATTATTTACTACTAAGTACTTTCTCTGCATCAGGAAACTGCATACTACATACTTTCTCATTTAATCCACATAATAACCTTCTGAGGTACCATTATTAACAGTTAATTGATGTGCGTATAAACTGAAACCCAAACCTGAAACCCAAACCTGGCTATCAGAATGATCTGGAGCATTAAAACAAACATATCCCCAGCCCCCACACTGAAATTCCATATTAAAATCTCAGGGGCAGGGCCTTATTTATGTATTTAACAGGAACTCCAAGTGATTCATTTATTACTAAAGTTTTTTTGGGAATCTCACTGGGTCATGCATTTAATCCACAGTAGCACAACTAGTAAGATCAGAATTGGGTTTCAATCCTAAGCCAAAACTCTTAACAAAAGCCCTATTAATCACATTATTACTACCATTATAATTTTATGCTTGGGGTAAATCAGCCTTTGTAGATGAGCATGGAAATCTAACCAACAGGAGATATATTACTTTGGGGAAAATAAGTTATGAATTCCCGGCGTCTAATTTATAAATTATTTTTTGAAACATAAGGGTTTACTTAATATAAAATAATCTTGTCATTGGTGCAACAGCATTATACATTACAAAGGTTAGCAGAATTGTCACCTTTTCTTAGTGAAATGACATATTACTATTACACATTCATGAAATATGTTAATACAGATGGGTGTGTTATTTTGTAGAATACTATAGTTTATCAGATTAGCATTTTTTGTCTTTTTAATAAAAAACAGAATATAGACTGGGTGCAGTGGCTCATACCTGCAATCCCAGCACTTTGGGAAGCCGAAGCAGGTGTGGATCACCTGAGGTTAGGAGTTTGAGACCAGCCTGGCCAACATGGTGAAATCCCTCTACTGAATATACAACAAATTAGCCGGGTGTGGCGGCGCACATCTGTAACCACAGTTAATCTGGAGACTGAGGCAGGAGAGTTGCTTGAACCTGGGAAATGAAGGTTGCAGTGAGCTGAGGTCATGCCATTGCATTCCAGCCTGGGCAACCGGAGTGAATCTCTGTCTCAAAAAATAAAATACAAAAAACAACTTCCCCCACACCACTCCTTATCCCACATTCCCATCCCCTATCCTTCATCTCTCTCTCTCTCTCTCTCTCTCTTCCTCACTCACTCTTTCACTCTCATGTGTGTGCTCTCACACAAATACACACACACACACACACACACACACACACGCACCCCCTACCTACATAATTTCTTCTCTTACACCTTTAATATAAATATCTGAGTTTCAGTTCAGTTTTGCAAACATTTAAAAGCCACACATGGTATTTTGCTTGTTTCAGCATTTAATAAGGTACTGCATACCTTTTTCATATGGAAGGAAACCATCATATTAAGGTAATATTTAAACTTAGACAATTATAATTTGCAAACAGCCAAATCAAGCTAGGATAATGATAATTTCTTAAGTAGTAAGTTGAAGTAAGTGATAATTTCCTAATGTCCTTGTCATTCAGCAGGTAATAAGAAACTGAGATAAGAATGCAGGCAGTTGAAGTTCACTTCAGCCTGAGTGCAAGTGTACACAAAACAGCAAAAATGTTACATAGAAAATAAAAGGAATGTTGTCCGTTGGATTGAGTGTGGTGCTACCATTTTTCACAGTGTTCATATTCTTACTTGTGGCTATCTTTGGGGTCACTGCTGTAATTAGACTTGTCTTAGAATTTTGAGTTGTCTTGGGATTCGATGTCATTTTGAGATTTGGACTTGTCCTGGGATTGGGGTTCATTCTGGGAGTGGTGCTGGTCCTCGGGTTAGGTCTGGTGCCAGGATTCAGACTTGACCCAGGAGTGGATACTGCCACAGAGTTTGATGTTGTTGTTGGTGAAGTTGTTCCCAGAATGTTATTAACAAACAGGAGCAGGCCAACCAGCGATAGCTTGAACATGATCCTCCTCTGCTTCAAAATAATTATTTGATTTTAATCAAACACTTGGATCACAAACAGGCAAGCATATATCCTTCATTGTGTTTATCAGTACATTCGTCTTAGGTAAATGTTTGCTTTTTCACTATTAGTGAACAAATAAAAAACTTCCCTTTCTTTGTCGTCAACCATCTGCTGACAGCAGACCTATTTTCTATCAAGGGCTACCAACTGAAGGCAAAAACAAGCCAAAGACTAAAAAAGAGCTTAATGGGCATTTTTCTATTTAAAAAAGGAAAAAAATAAAACATTAGACATTCAGTACAATACATATGGGGGCTTGAGATCAGTATGGAGTAGGGTAGTTGGCAAAGACTGAGAGGCAATTTGGGACAGGAGAGCAACAAAAGAAATAATGAAATAAATATTGGCATTTTCTTGATTTCTCATGACCTTTATTCCAACAATTTAAGGTTTTAGTTTAGGTCACAAATTAGGGTATTATTTTTAAATATTTACTCCAAAGACTAAAAAGATTAAACCAAAGGATTTCCCTGGTTCTGGGATGAGGGTTCCTTCACTGAAAAAATACTAGTTAGAAAAGTTCATAGTTTTAAGATTAGAAATGAACAAAACCAACCCCTTCATTTTGCAAATAGGCTCAGACAAGGGGTATAACTTGCCTGAGGGTGCATATCTAAAAATGACCTAAGCTAGAACTGAAGTCTATGACTTAAAGCCCAAACTTTAACTGTAGAACTCTAACATACGTGTTAAAAGTTACATTTGACTCTAATATGTAATTGGGAACATTTCAAATTAAAGTTACCTTTTGATATTTTTCTTTGAAGAGTAAGAATTCAGTCTTTCTCTGAAATCTGAAGTCTTCTCTGAAATCAGGAATCTGATTTCACTCACTGCATGCTATTTAAATATAATTATTGGAGAAGTCACATGCTCTAAACCTGACCTGCCATTTGCTGTTTGGAAGTATCCAACATAGTGTTTCCAAAGCACTAAGTATAAACAGATGGACTTTGGCAGAGATTAAATAATTCAAATAAAGTTTCTAAAATCTGCTTGAAGAATCCAGTGAATAGCATTTGTTATTCCTCTTATACATGTATAAATTATATAACATTAATAAACTGCTTCACTGCATTGACTCTAACTCGATGAATATACTATTTTGCCTGCTGTGATTATTATGATTTAAAACCAAGTAAGTATATTAAAGATGTCTATTTTTCCTTAGAACATCTGTATGTATGTTTACAGGGTAGTTTCTACCCATGGTTATTTTGAAGTTTAAAAAATAATTCAGTAATATATCATTTCAGTCATTTAACTTTTGGTAAATAAAGTAACCTTAGAAAAGAAGTTAAACTTCATTAATATTAAACTTAAGGATTGCATATGAAAGTGATACTTTTCCATACCGAGTTTATAAACTTTTGTGTTTTTGTTTTTTTTAATGTATTAAACCACTCACTTTGAAGCACATAAAGTAAATTTTTTAAAGGAATTTTGTCTTTTGGTCAGCCATTTTCCATGATAATTAGCATATAGGGAAGTTGGGTTATATTGTGCTAATGTTTTCATCACATTGGCCAGCACACTTTAAAAATTGCAGGGCTGTGAACGATGGTGTTGACATACAAGGAAATTGCTGCATAAATGGCAGACATACAAGTCAGTACATGTTCCTCACTTGTTGTACTACGCTGTGAAGATCGCTCTCCCCCTGAATGAATAAACCATGAATAGGACCATGCTTGCTAAATCTTATTTATACAGTACACATAACCTCACTTAACTGGAGGTTAGTGTGGTCAGATCTAAGAAGTAAACAAACAAAAAAAGCTTCTTGGCAACCCGAGCACATATTATAAATCAGAGTACTACGGTAATTTGCAGGAGTTTGGCATTGTTTTCCCTCTTCTCACTTGCTCATTCTGTGGATTTCTTTGGGGGGTATATAGTTGATAATAGTAATAGAAATGTTTTGAACTTGAGCAAACTGTCACTTACTTTGTTTTTCTAATCCTGACCTTTTGAGTACTATACTTACACAACTCTTTATTGATGCTTCAAACACTTTAGTCTCAACTTGTTTAAAATTCAAAAGTTAGCATTTTCTCCTTCCTGTTTTTGTATCTAGATACATCCTTCTCAGAATCTCTTGGTTAATTGTATCATCATGTAGCCAAATATTTCTCCAAACTTGGATTTCTCATTATCTTCTCTTTCTTATTGCTCTTAAGCATCCCAGACCTCTTGATGATTATTAAGTAAAATTTAATTCTATTCAGCACTGAAATGCTCCCAAACAAACAGAAATCATTTGCCATTATTCAGGTCTTCAAATACCCCCCAACTTTGTATCTTTTTTTTTTTTTAAGACGGGGTTTCACCATGTTGGTCAGGCTGGTCTTGAACTCCCGACCTCAGGTGATCCGACCGCCTTGGCCTCCAAAGTGCTTGGATTACAGGCGTGAACCACCACGCCCGACCCCAACTTTGTATCTTTGTGCAGCCTCCCCCACTTCCCCAAAGTATAATAATAGCCCCCTCTTATCCTAAGTTTCACGTTCCATAGTTTCAGTTACCCATTGTCCACCATGGTCTGAAAATACTGAATGGAAAATTATAGAAATAAACAGTTCATAAGTTGGATGTGTCGTGAAAAGGTTAATAGTAGCCCAGCACTATGTCACAGTGCTGCATCAGTCACTTCACTTCGTCTTACCACGTAGGCATTGTGTCATATCACATCATCACAAGAAGGGCTAGTATAGTATATACAATAAGATACTTTGAGAGAGATACCAGGTGCACATAGCTTTTATTATGGTATATTGCTATGACTTCTATTTTATTATTGTTTTTAATCTCTTACTGGCCTAATTTATAATTGAACTTTATCACAGGTATATATGTATAGAAAAAAACATAGCATATATTGGGTTCAATACTATTTCATGGTTTCAGGTGTCCCTGAGGGATCTTGGAATATATCCCCCACAGTTAAGGGGTACTAGTGTACTTTCCTTCCTCATTCAAAATTGTGCTGTTTCTTTAAGGTCCACTCATGTTAGCACCTTTTATGGGATCCTTCCCTAATTCTTCACATCAGAATCAGAATACTTATCAGAGTCTCTTTTTCACTAAAGAAACTAAATCTTCCACCATATTTTGGCTTTTTTTTGGTAAGGTACCACCTTGTATTCTTTCTATTCCCTCTACCTTCTAATATAGTGAGTGCTTATTTAAAAAAAAAAAAAAAGACACAGGGCCGGGCATGGTGGCTCATGCCTGTAATTACAGCACTTTGGGAGGCCAAGGCAGGCAGATCATGAGTTTAGGAGATCGAGACCATCTTGGCTAGCATGGTGAAACCCCATCTCTACTAAAAATACAAAAAATTAGCCAAGCATGGTAGCATGTGTCTGTAGTCCCAGCTACTCAGGAGGCTAGGACAGGAGAATCACTTGAACCTGGGAGGTGGAGGTTGCAATGAGTGGGGATCACTCTACTGCACTTCATCCTGGGCCACAGAGCGAGACTCTGTCTCAAAAAAAAGGACACAATAACTGTTGGAACTCATTGAAATACCTCCTATTTCTCCATGTCTGAGGGCTGGTATCATTAATGATGTCATTAATGATATTTGGTCATTTGCAGTTTTCCCTTTACGTTAGCATAAATTTGTAAGGCACAGGCCTGAGTTTAAGTCTCATCTCTACTTTTCTGGCTGCTGTTTTGAGAAAATTTCTTCATTTATACAATGTGGATGATAATGCACATTCATAATCCCTTGTCTATAATCTGAAATCCAAAATCCTCCAAAAACCTTAAGTTTTATCAAAAAAAAATTTGACACCAAAATTTATTTGGTACAGATACCTTACCTGTATTGGTATGAGGTTTTTAGCTGTCTTTATTTGTTCCATTTAGTGTGGGTATTAATGTTTTGCTGCAGAAATATTGATGAGATTTATTTTGGGGTGCTATTGCAGTTTTTACTGGAGTGTTACATAATACATGATAAAACTAGTACTTAGCATATTCATGTTTCTCTTCTTCCTTCTGAGCACAGTACCATACTACTCTTAGCATTCTTTTTTTTTTCTTTTCTTTTTTTTTTTTTGAAATGGAGCCTTGCCCTGTCGCCAGTTGGAATGCATTGGGGTTATCTCGGCTCACTGCAATCTCCACCTCCCTGATTCAAACAATTCTCCTGCCTCAGTCTCCTGAGTAGCTGAAATTACAAGCACACGCCACCATGCCCAGCTAATTTTTTTGTGTTTTCAGTAGAGACGGGGCTTCACCATGTTGGCCAGGCTGGTCTTGAACATCTGACCTTGTGATCTGCCCACCTTGGCTTCCCAAAGTGGTGGGATTCAGATGTGAGCCACTGCACCCAGGCTACTCTTAGCATTCTTATAGTTAGGTGGTACCATCTGACTGAGTTCTGGGTAGTGAAATGTCAGTTCCGATGATGTATGATTGACCTTTGAGCAACACTGGGGTTAGGGGAACTGAATTTCCACACAATTGAAAATCTACATATGACTCCCCAAAAACTTAACTACGAATAGACTGTTGAACGGAAGCCTTTTGATAACATAAACAGGTTAATATGTTTTGTAAGTTATGTATATACTGTTATTATTAGAGTAAAATAAGCTCTAGAAAAGAAAATGTTACTCAGAAAATCATGAGGAAGAAAAAATATATTTACTGTTCTCTGAGTGGAAGTGGATTGTCATGAAGGTCTTCATCTTCATTATCTTCATGTTGGTGGAGGAGAAGGAAGAGGGATTGGTCTTACTGTCCCAGCACTGGCAGACCTCTATGTAAGTGGATCTGCATGGTTCAAACCCATGTTGTTTAAGGGTCAACTGTGTATTTTTAAGTCTTCTATTCTTGCTTTCTTTTATCAATGCCTGCTAGAAACAGACGATTCAGTGGAGGGAGTATCTAAGACCCTAGAAGATGGTAAAATCATTAGAAGACATGATCTAAGAGAAATAAACTATTGTTGTCTTAGCCAGTGATAGTTTGGGATTATTTGTGACAGAAGTTAGTTTTTGCTGACTAACATAACTATGTGCTGGACATCTTGCCTTTGCCTCTTCAAATCCACTCTGTTCTTTATCCTGCCCTGTACCCTGAGAGGCTGACCTGTGTAAAGGTATCATTGGGCTCCTCTACTCTCTGGCTTTCAGCTGGCCCAGAGGGAATAGAAGCAGAAGATTGGAGGGAAGAGCGAGAGTAAGGTTGGGATGTATATGTTTTTTGGCTCCCTTCCTGCAGGGTCTCTGTGGGCTGGCGGTATCCTTCCATGCAGTATGGTTTTTGTTAGGTGACCCTCTCCACACAACCTACTGTGTGTCTGCTTTCTGATAACTGCTTCTTCCACTCACTACTTCAGGTATAGTGTCACACTGTCTCTTAGAGGTTCCCTAAAACCTGCCTTCTTTGTACATAATCTCCAGTATCCCAGTTTGAATATGCCACCTGTTTCCTGCCACCTTAATTGCTACAAACAGTATATACACTGTATCATCTTCCTAAAATCAACCAGGCATGGTGGGATATGAGCTATAGTCCTAGCAACTCAGGAGGCTGAGGTAGGAGGATTGCTTGAGCCCAGGAATTTGAGGCTACAGTGAATTATGGATACTCTAACCTGGGCAACAGAGTAAGACCTTGTCTCTAAAAAACAAAAATTAAAATTAAATTAAAAATAGTGTCTTTCTTTATATATGTATATTACCTTCAATTGATATACTGTTTTTGAGATGTTCAGAACTATCCGCCCTCATATATTGATTCTTCCAAAATTTTTTCTTAAAAAAATGGAAAAAAGTAATCTAATTTCTGAAAATCATGAGAATTATCATAAATTTCATATGTTACTTTCCTGAGAATTTCAAGTTGCAGTTTTAATATTTTACTTTAGAAACAGGATGAGTTTTCCCTTCTGTAACTTTTCTCTTTGGTTTTTGGATTTCTTTTTTTTTTTTTTCTCATGAAAAGAAGATGTAGATCTTTTCTTGAGTGGTGTTTGCAGACTTTGCCTTGGCAATGAAAACATGTTTTATTTTTTTAGAAAATCCTATTAAGTTTTATGCCATGTCTGTGCTCATTGCACTTGTGCCTCATGTCTCATTTATTTATTTTACTTTTATTTTTTGAGACAGAGTTTTGATCTTGTCACCCAGGCTGGAGTGCAATGGTGCGATCTCGGCTCACTGCAACCTCCACCTGGCAGTTTCAAGCAATTTTCCTGACTTAACCACCTGTAGCTGGGATTACAGGTGTCTGCCACCAGGCCTGGTTAATTTTTTTTTTTTTTTTTTTTTTTTTTTTTTTTTGAGCCAGAGTCTCACTCTGTCACCAGGCTGAAGTGCAATGACACGATCTTGGCTCACTGCAACCTCTACCTCCTTGGTTCAAGTGATTCTCCTGCCTCAGCTTCCCAAGTAGCTGGGATTACAGGCACTTGCCACCACGCCCAGCTAATTTTTGTATTTTCAGTAGAGATGGTGTTTCACCATGTTGGCCAGGCTGGTCTTGAACTCCTGACCTCAGTTGACCTGCCCACCTCGGCCTCCCAAAGTGCTGGGACTACAGGCATGAGCCACCATGCCCAGCCTTCATGTCTCTTTTAAATAGGACTTTTAAAATTTTGAAATGAAGCCAGCTTCAGTGGCTTATACCTATAATTCCAGTGCTTTGGGAGGCCAAGGCAAGTGGATCACTTGAAGTCAGGGCTTCAAGACTAGCCTGGGCAACATCATGAGACCCTGTCTCTATAAAATATATATTTTTTTAAAATTAGCCAGGTATGGTGGCACACATACCTGTATAGTCTTAGCCACTTGGGAAGCTGAGGCAGGAAGATCTCCTGAGCCCAGGACTTGAAGGTTTCAGTGAGCTGTGATCCCACCACTACACTTCAGCTGGTGAGGGAGACAGAGCGAGACACTGTCTCAAAAAAATTTTGTTTTGAAATGAATTTATGTATGTTTGGTTATTTCTGAAAGCAATTCAGCCGCTTGGCCATACCATCCTGAATGTACCTGATCTCGTCTGAAAGCAATTCAGGTTTTCAGGATTAAAATTTGTATGCTACTAGGTTTTTAATCTGTATTTTAAAGTAGAACATTTAAAGCATTTTAGTAGTATATAGCATTGAAAAGTGGCTTTTTAGTGTAGACAGTTGCTTTTAAATAAACTATTTTGTAATCCTAGCAACTTGGGAGCCTGAGGTGGGAGGATTGGTTGAGTCCAGGAGTCAGAATCCAGTCTGGGCAATAAAGGAGAATACCAGTTTCATTTACAAAAAAAAAAAAAGAAAGAGAAAAAGAGGAAGAAACTATTTGGAAGTTTTCTGAGCAATGGATATGCAAAATGACCATTGTTACGATAGGCCTAATTGTGAGTACCTTCTAAAATTGTATATAACCATGATTCTCTTCAGTAGTAAAATGTCAGCCTCTTCATTTTAGGAATCGAATATAGGAAAAAGAACACATTTCTCCTTAGTTGTAAAACAGATTCTGAGGGTGAATGTCCATCCAGGAGCAAGTTTGTCTTCCTAACAGTGTAATATTGTGAGTCAATTGTCTAATTTTGGCTTGTTGTCTCTTCTTTTTCATAATCAAAGAAAAATGATTTAATTTTTAAAAGTTGCTCTCTTCCTTTCTGTTTTTTTCTCTTGGATAATAATATCCCTATCTGTATGAGTTTACAGAATCTTAATTTTTACCTGCTCTTACCACATATATCTGATTAGTCATTAAGTCTTGTTGATTCTGCTTCAGAAATTTTCTTTTATGCTTCACTCTCATACTACCAACTCATTTGGTAGCTTCAGCAGTTTTCTAAGCTGGGGTTGGCAAACTTTTTCTGTAAAGGACCAGATAGTAAACATTTCAGTCTTTATAGCCCATATAAAGTTTTAAAATTTTTTTTTTAAATAATGCTTTAAAAGTGTAAGAACTATGCTTAGCCTGGAAGCCATACAAAAATAGGCCACAAGCAGCCTGTGGGCAGGATATTGCCAGTGGGCCATACTTTGCCAATCTCTGGCCTAGGCTATGACAACAATTTCCTAATTGGAATATTTGGCACCTGTATTTTACCCCATTGCCTGCATCTTACACATCACTGCCAGAATCATCTCTCTGAAATGTGACCATGTCACTTGCAGGTAAAATCTTTATGTGTTCCTGTTAGTTAAGTTTTCATGCTGAAGGCATTCATATACCATTTTGGGGATTTTTTTTTTCCGTTTCTTCATAACCATCTATATTATTTATTCAATATTTTTATAGACTTTTTTTCTTAAAGGAAAATTTGTACTGTGAATGGAAAATCAATATTGATTGCCATAACGAGAAAACCAACAAAAGGTAACAGTAAAAGGAAATATAAAACTATGAAATGCCTGTTTCATAGAGCATCCAACATATATGTACTACGTTTCAAAAAGCCATTGGCTTATAAAAATATTTTCTTAGCATCTCATACAAGTCTCTTCATAATCTGTTATACTGCTTGCCTTACTTGCACAATTGCTGAGCTAAAGCAGATCAAAAGTAATTTTATAAGAGGCTAGATGCTGACCTTGTATTCTGAAAATCTGATGATTCTACTGTCGTTGATGTGATACCAAGTAAGCCTGTGTGAGCTTCTGGAGTATTCTCAGGAAAGTGTTTATGATACATTGTTGAGGGTATCATCAGGGGAGTTGATCCAAGAAGTTGGTCTAGGAGCCAGCAAAGCCACAAAGTTTGCCCCAAAAAGCTCAGAATTACAAATGAATGTTTTGTATGTTATCTCCAATCTAATGGTAGAAAAAAAATCTTAAAAACATTTGTCTCAATTGGTCATTTATATGGAATAATAGCAGGCTGTTTAGTCTGTAGAAGGATGCTTTAAACTCTACTATGTGCTTCAGCTATGCTGACCATCTCACCATTGCCCCCTCAGCCATGCCCTGACATCCTCACATGTCTCTCTGCTTTTGCATACCTTTTCCATCTGGCTTGACTGCCCCTCCTTTATCATGGGACGTAATCTTTCAGTTTAATACCCATATTGATAACCTGACTCTGACTACTCTAAGCAAGTTCAAAAAAAAATTAAAAAGCTTCATTGAAATGAAACCCTTTATAAAGTATACAATTGGCTGAGCACAGTGGTTCACACCTGTAATCCCAGCACTTTGAGAGGCTGAGGTGGGGGAATCACTTGAGCCCATGTGTTTGATACTAGCCTGGGCAACATAGTGACACCCTACCTCTACAAAAAAATACCAAAATTAGCTGGATGTGGTGGTTCACGCCTGTAGTCCCAGCTACTCAGGAGGCTCAGGTGGAAGAATCACTTGAGCCCAGGAGGTTGAGCCTGCAGCAAGCTGAGATCAAGCCACTGCACTGCAGTGCAGTGGACAATGGAGAGAGATTCTGTCTCAAAAATAAAGTATGTAATTTTGCATATTTAGAGTTGTGTACTCATTACCACTAATTGTAAACATTTTCATCACCCCAAAAAGAAACCCCGTAGCCATCAACAGTCACTCTCCCCTTTCTTCCTGCCCCACCTCAGTCCCTGGCAACCACTAATCTACTTTGTGTCTCTGTGGATTTACACATTTTAGATGTTTCATGTAAGTGGAATCATACAATATGTACTCTTGTGACTGCCTTCTTTTACTATATGTAATATTTTTAAGATTCATTCATGTTATAGCATGTATCAGAACTTTATCCATTTTTATAGCTGAATAATATTCTACTGTGTTCATATAAGTTTTCCTGTACGTATGCATTCAATTTTTTTAGATACATATCTAGTGGTGGAATTGAGTCTTATGGTACCTCAGTGTTTAACTTTTGAGGAACTGCCAAATGATTTTCCAAAGTAGCTGCATTATTTTACATTGCCACCAGTAGTGAATGAGAGTTCTAATTACTCTACATCTTCACCCAACACTTGGTATTGTCTGTCTTTCTAGACAAATTTTGATAAATTCCTCCTTTTCTAAATCTTAGTCAATTCTGTTGCTGTTTAACAATGACCATGTTGCAGTATAAATTTTCTGTTCACACTTTGAACTTTAACTTCGAGGTCTTAGATGTCTTAATCTGGATATTCAGAGAATCTAGGTTTTGTATGTAATCATTCAATGATAGTATTAAAACTAATTAGCTGTTTTTTATTTTTTGGGGACAGGATCTCACCACTATTTTGGGAGCTCAAGGCAGGCAGATTGCTTGAGCCCAGGAGCTCAAGACAAACCTAGGCAACATGATGAAACCCTATCCCTACAAAAAATTAGTAGAGTAGTGATGTGAGCCTGTAGTTTCAGCTGCTCGTGAGGCTGAGACAGGAGAATCACTTTAGGAGGTCAAGGCTGCACTCCAGCCGGGGTGACATAAAGACCCTGTCTTTAAAAAAAAAAAAAAAAGTTTTTCTTATGTAACTTATAAACTAGCTTTTAGTGGTATTTGAAAGGAACAGCCCCAGAGTTGTTTTCAGTAATGATGGTATCACTGGAATAAAAGTATAGTTACCCAATGCGTCTACTTTGAAGAAATATTCAGAAAATGAGGTGTATCATGTGTGACATTTATGTTTAAGTTTAAAATCAGTTTATAGTCAACTCAATATATGAATATTTTTACGAGTTTCAAGTGATTCCTTGATCCTTTAAATGAATTTTAATTTTTCTTTGAGACAGAGTTTCACTCTTGTTGCCCAGTCTGGAGTGCAATGGTGCAATCTTGGCTCGCTGCAACCTCCATCTCCCGGGTTCAAGTGATTCTCCTGCCTCAGTCTCCCAAGTAGCTGGGATTACAGGCATGTACCACCATACCCGGCTAATTTTGTATTTTTAGTAGAGACGGGGTTTCTCCATGTTGGTCAGGCTAGTATCGAACTCCTGACCTGAGGTGATCCGCCCGCCTTGGCCTCCCAAAGTGCTGGAATTACAGGCGTGAGCCACTGTGCCCAGCCATTTTTTTTGAGACAGTCTTGCTCTGTTGCCCAGGCGGGAATACAGTGAAATGATCGCGGCTCACTACAGCCTCCATCTCCCGGGTTCAGATGATTCTCTTGCCTCAGCCTCCCGAGTAGCTGGTATTATAGGTGCATACCACCACGCCCAGCTAATTTTTGTATTTTTAGTAGAGACGTGGGTTTGTTGGCCAGGCTAGTCTTGAACTCCTGACCTCAGGTGATCTGCCTGTCTTGGCCTCCCAAAGTGCTGGTATTACAGGGATGAGCCGCCATACCCGGCCTATTTTAATATGTTTTAAAGAGCCTTTTAATTTTTACAAGGTGTCTCTAAGTTCATATTTAATGATGTGCAGCTTTTTGTAGAATTTAAAGTCAGGGCAAGAGACTCATAATACTTCATCCATATTTTGTTAAAGCAAAAAAAAAAATGTCAGGTGATCTTATAGAAAAACTATACCATTAGGAAATTTTAGACCCTATAAATAGGTGAAACAATTGTTTGCTTTCTTAGATTATTTGTCATTGGTATGAGGAAATACAACTGAGTATTTAATGTCTAAATAATAGAACTGATAAGTGGATGTGGCTGTGTGCCAGTTGCTCTTACACTACATAATATCTCAGATGTGATAGTGGTCGCTGAGGCTTTGGATGGTAAAGTAGGGCTTTCCCAGTGGTTATTGTGGCGTATGGCATCCTTGCCTTCCCTTACTTATGCTTTGTTTTTCTTCTTTCTCAATGAAAAGCCATTAAATCTTAGTTTATTTTCTGTTGAGGCAAGCATTTGACAGGGAATTCATTCGAACTCCGTCAGCCTTCCAGAAGCGTTCAGTGTATTTCATCTGTGAGTATGGACATCAGAATAACACAAAGTGAAAAACTGCATTTCCGGGTATGAGTATTTCATAGATTTATTGATCCTTAGGCTTATGGTATTCATATGAAATATTCAGACATCTAATTTTTTACTGCTAAATAATTTTTACCAGGAGATAAATAACAAACCTTATAAACTAATTATTTGAAGCATAACTGAAGAGGGCAGATATATAGGAAATTACTGTTACTGTTTCAGTCATTTTCACTTCTAATCTTGTTAATTACCTGAGAATGTCATATACAGAGGATAATCATTAAAATGGTTGTATAGCACCCACAAAGTGCTTTAATATACATGTTCTAATCTATTCCTTAAAACACCTTCTGGAATATATGTTCTTAACTGTATTTTTTATCAGAGGACACATTTAATTACCTGCCCAAGGTAAAAACACACATGGTAGGTGATAAACTTTATGTCATGCTTTTGCTGTTAAACCACCATGTGGTTTAAATATGCTTAGAATTATTTTGATCAGACAAAGAACGAAGCAGTTTTCCGGTTTTAGTGAGTGTGTATGTATGTTTAATTTCTGTGCTTTGATCTCATCCATAAGAGCGTGTGTGTGTGTGTGTGTGTGTGTGTATGTAAGAGAGAGAGAGATACAGGATCTGGCTCTGTCACCCAGGCTAGGGTACAGTGGCATGATCTCAGCTCAGTGTAACCTCCATCTCTTGGGCTCAAGCCATCCTCCCACCTCAGCCTCCTAAGTAGCTGGGACTACAGGCACACACCACCACACTTGGCTAATTTTTACATTTTTTGGTAGAGACAGGGTTTCTCCAGGCTGGTCTCAACTCCTGAGCTCAAGCAATCTGCCCGCCTCAGCCTCCCCAAGTGCTGGGATTATAGGCATGAGCCACTGCTCCTGGGCTCATCAGTAACTTTCAAGAAATTCAGATTCAGAATCTCAGGCCACGTTTTCTAAATTAGGATAAATGGGTGTATTGAGCATGCGTCTCACCTGGCTCTTGAATATGTTTAACAAACTTGGGGCTGTTGAACCAAAATGGCATTTCTTAAAAGTTGAGCTTCTTAAAGACCTCACTTTGTACCACAGTTTTCGAAGTGTGAAACTTACCAATCTGCTTAACATGTTAACACCTGAAGGTGACACTTGTTTCCACTTCTCTGCTAACTTCCCTTGAGAAATTTTCTCTACTGAATTGTTGACAGGTACCAGAATTAACGTTTCTCTAGAATTGTTCCAAAGATAACTCCACATTGCCCAGAACTAGTTTTTTATTTGTTTTTGTTTTTTGCAAGCGGGGGGGGGGGCTGGGGGTGGGGGCGGGCAGGTCTTGCACTTGTCACCCAGGCTGGAGTTCAGCACACCTGTAACCTCTGCCTCCTGGGTTCAAGCGATTCTCCTGCCTCAGTCTCCCGAGTAGCTAGGATTACCAGTGCCTGCCACCACACAGGGCTAATTTTTGTATTTTTAGTAGTGATGGGGTTTCAACATGTTGGTTGGGCTGGTCTCGACGAACTTCTGACCTCAAGTGATCCACCCACCTTGGCCTTCCAAATTACTGGGGTTACAGGCGTAAGCCATGGTACCTGGCCCAGAGCTAGCTTCTTGTATGACAGGTAGTAGCCTAGCCAAATCCTCCCTCATTTTTACCTTTTCTTTGATCTCTCTTTTCTCAGGGCTTTGGGCTATAGCTTTGAAATAAATGAAAGAAACTTAGACTCTAGAATCAGATTAGCAGGTTTGACTTGGTCTGTCCTAAGTAGATCACTGTAGACCACTACCCACATCTTTGATCTATGTTCATTTATTCTTTTATTTATAAATTCAGATAAAGATGGTCAAAAAAACAAAGTTCTAGGGGCAAGCGACTGTCTAAGCTGAAATCAAAAGAATGAGTAGGGTTTGAGAGGCAAGAGGGAGAGAGAACATGCAGCATCTCTGAGAGCCTGGTGGCATGAAGCGTGGTGATTGAGGGATAGAAGATAGTTTGTTTGAACTATAAAATGTTAGAGAGCTGGAAAACTTTAAGATGATATTCTAAAGGGAAGCAAGGGCCTGATCATGCAGTAAACCATTTTAAGAGTTTAGGGCCTGGTGTGGTAGCTCACACCTATAATCCCAGCGCTTTGGGAGGCCGTGGCGGGCAGATCACCAGTTCAGGAGATTGAGACCTTCCTGGCCAACATGATGAAACCCCATCTCTACTGTAAATACAAAAACTAGCTGGATATGTGGCATGTGCCTGTTATCACAGCTACTCGAGAGGTTGAGGCAAGAGAATCGCTTGAACCAAGGAGTCAGAGGTTACAATAAGCCAAGATTGCGCCACAGCACTCCAGCCTGGTGACAGAGTGGGACTCCGCTCAAGAAACAAAAAAGCATTTAGATTTTATTCTGAGATGTGAGAAATTATTGAAGGGGAAGGATTGGTACACAGTTCATCTTGCGTCTTCTTATTTCTCTTGTTTTCTTACTCAGTCTAGATGCCTTAGACATTTGAGTAGTTCTTTTCTTAGAACTCTTGCATTTTTAAGGACAAAGCAGGTAATAAAATATGCTTGGTCTACAGTGTTAGCATTTTGGCATGTTTCTTTTTATTACTTTTTAATACATAGTTCTATGTATGTTTATATCCTATTATTTTTCTTATTTTTCTAATATTTGCATTTTCCACATTTCACACTTTAAAAAACTCTTCAAATATTTTTGTTGGCCACATATTCTGGTCAGTGGGTTGTCATTAATTTCTTAATGGTGGATACTTATCATTGTTTCAGTTTTTCTTGTTAGAAATAATGCCGTGATTTACCTATAGGCAAAAGTTTAAATACCTTAACTATAGGCAAAAGTTTAATACCTTCACTATAGACAGAAGTTAAAATATCTTACGTTTTTTAAAATTTCATCACCAAATTGCTGTCCAAAAGAGTTGTGCCAATATGTGAATGTGGCCATTTCATTATACCTTCCCCATCATTGGCTTGTATTACTTTTTCTAAAAAAAATTGCTTGCTATTTTAATAGTGAGAAATGATAACACATTTTTATTGCATTTCTCAATTATGTGGTTGACCATATTCCCATGTATTAATCACAGTGTTGTATATCTTGTAAACATTCTTTTTATGTCCTTTGCCCATTTGTTCATTGCAAATTTTAAGATTTTTTTCTCATCAATTTTATGATCTCCTAATTAACAACCTCCTTTACAGCATTTTACTTGAATATTTTTATCAGGCTGGTTGCTTCAACATAATGGGGATTTTGTATAGACAAATCTATTGATGATTTCTTTGTGATTGTTTTTTTCCTAATTAAAACAAATAGCCTTCCACCAGAAGACTTCTAAATATTTTTAAATTCTGCTGCTGGTTTTATGACTTTCTCATTAATGTTTTCTTTCACTTTCTTGGTGTATCACATGAAGTGAGTGTTAAACTGAACTTTTTTCCAATGTCCTCATCATCATTTATTGAGTCTTTCCTTTCCCCTTTGGTTTCTGGTTTTTCTTTATAAAGCTAACAGTGTTTCAGAACTTACTATGTGCTAGGTGATGCTCTAAACACTTTACCTATATTATGTCATTTTCTTCTCACAACAGCCCTGTAAGGAAATAGAGGCAGAGACCTAATTTGCTGAAGTTACACAGTTAGTGAGTAAAGCTCTGTCGTATATTCAGTTCTTCTGTGTGCCTTGTGCTCTAATTGTGCTATTGTTTCTATATTGTGGTTATCTTTCTATTTTTATGCCACTGTCATTCTGTCCTAATTATGAAAGATATATGTTTCTCTCTCAAGAAAGGCTAATATCGGCCAGGTGCTATGGCTCACACCTCTAATCCCAGCACTTTGGGAGGCCAGGGCAGACAGATCATCTGAGGTCAGGAGTTCAAGACCAGCTTGGCCAACTTGGCGAAACCCCATCTCTACTAAAAATACAAAAATTAGCCGGGCATGGTGGTACACACCTGTAGTCCCAGCTATTCAGGATGCTGAGGCAGAAGAATTGCTTGAACCTGGGAAGTGGAGGATGCAGTGAGCCAAGATTGCACCACTGCACTCCAGCCTGGATGACAGAGAAAGACTCTGTCTAAAAAAAAAGAGAAAAAATTTTTTTAAAAAGGCTTATATAACTGTGCTGTTTATTTCTTTTTCTATTCTTGCTTATTCTTTCTATTCTTATGTTTCTGAGTGAACTTAAGGTTCCAAAAAGTTTCTCATTGGAATATTTTTCAGAATTGGCTCAATCTATAAAATATACTGGAAATAATTACAACTTTACAGTATCCCATCAAAGTCCTCTGTACCTTAGTGTTCGGTGTGTTCCAGGTGCTAAGTATTTGTTGAGTCAAAGAATGAATGAATGGAAAGACCTGAGTTTGTCATCTGCATCAAGTCTTAGTTTATACTTCTTATTAATGTTTTTCAGATTTTCCTCATTTGATCCTGCATATTTCGTGTGAATGTTATTTCTTGACATTGTATATTTTTTTCCATAATTTTCTAATTATCTGTTGCCAATATCTATTATTTCTGTTTTTTGTTTGTTTGTTTTGGAATATCCCAAAGAGTGTTTAAAAGATTGACAATAGTGGACAGCCTTGTTTTGATTGTGATATTAATAGAAATATTAAGTTACTTTTCACCAGCACAATGTTGGGTGGTAGGGTATAATACATCCTTTTATCTAGTTCTTAAAATATATTTTATAAGGACTAATTTTATAGAAGATTTTAGGTTAACTCTTGTCTGACATTTTTGGTGTTGAAGGAATTTGCTGTTGTTTTATAGCATCATTATGGAAGATATTGAATAGCACATATTTGTGATCTTTTAAGTTAGCCATAGAAGCCATTTTCTCATTTATTGTGATAAGTGAATGTCTTTCTTTCTTCTGGGTCCCTGTTTCACTTTTACCTAAACCTGGTTTCTAGCAGGGAGGAGACTAAAGCAAGCACATCCTTGCATTCCCTTGCTTTCAGTGTGTAGAGCTGAAATGTTGCCATATATGGGAGGTTCTCATAGCATTGGGTTTGGACATACAGATGTGTTAATAATCCTCACAACAACAACATTATTGTATCTAAGAATGTGGGTGGGCCAAGACACTGTGAAGGGTTTATGTGAATTATGTCATTTAATCTCCAGGGAAAAAAAAAAAAAAAAAACACTGTAAGTTCTGCCAGACCATTTTATTGATGAGGAAACTGTGACTTAGAGCACAGTAGACCACAATAACTTGTCTATGGTCATACACCTGAGAAGTGGCAGAGGCAAGTTGCCTGTAAAGTAGAGCCAAGCCTTAGGGATGGATGGGTGGAGATAAATGTAGATACATGCGTATATAGGGGTATGTGTATCTGTACACATATGCATACATATTTGATGAGCTTGAGGGATAAATGCTGAGGACTAATGCATTTTGAAATTTTTCTGGAGCCAGTAATAGAGTGGTACTTAATGGCAGATAATCAGCCTTTTTCCATTAATAATAAGAATACAATTTCTTTGGAAGGAAATGCTAATTATAGTTGTCCCTCAGTATATCTGGGGGATTGGTTACCAGACCTCTATGTATACCCAAATCTGCACATATTCAAATCCCAAAATTGGCCCTGTGAAACCTGCTTCCATATGGAACCTATTTATACAGTATGCAGGTTTCACATCCCACAAATACGGTATTTTCAATCTGTGTTTGCTTGGAAAAAAAATATGTGTAAGTGTGCCTGTGCCATTCAAACCCATGTTGTTCAAGGGTCAACTGTCCTTTAAGGCTAAATAATGCTTCTGTCTAAGGACTTAAAGTCTGAGTAGTTGCCGTATATTGTACTTGTAAATTTACCGAGTTTGACTCTGCATTTTGCAGACATGTCTGTAGGATTGGCATAATCCACAGACATAAGAATGCTTCCAATGCAGTAGGAGCATTCTTATCACTTTTCCCCCTAGGAATTCTAAGACAGCATTGGATTTCTGGTACCCTCAGAGGAAAAGACAATTAACTCTAAGAAACTATCTGTGGAAGTTGGTGTACATGTTTTTTAAAATAAGATACACGTATATGGTAGAGTAGGCATTATCTAAGCAATTAGTCCCTATCATAGATGGTGAAGGTGCTAATCAGTGTTTAGGAGAAGGTAGAGATAGCTTGCCCAAACAGAGAAG